CACTTGGTAGACCAGGCTGGCCTCGAACTCACAGAGATCCGCCTGGCTCTGCCTCCCGAGTGCTGGGATTAAAGGCGTGCGCCACCACCGCCCGGCCAGCTAGTAGAAATTTTATTCCTAAAATTTTATTCATTGCATTAGACTCTAAATTTGGGTACTCAAAAAATTAACTGAGGAAAAAAATAGAAATCTTAAATTTGGGCTGTGGTGGGGCACACCTTTAATCCCAGCACTCAGGAGGCAGAGGCAGGCGGATCTCTGTGAGTTTAGTGATCAAACCCTGTATCAAAAGAGCAATAGTGAAAGACACCCAACTTCAACCTCTAGCCTCCCCACATACATATGCACACATACAAACACATAAACTTGCACACACCACACACACACACACACAGGAGATCTGTGATAATACCCTTAATGCTAGCACGTAGGAGGCTGAGGCAGGAGGATCAGAGTCAGCCTGGACTACATATTGACTCCCTGTTTCAGAAAACAAGCAAACAAGGGTCTATAATGAAATGGTTTCAAGAATAAAAACTTTTCTTCTGTTTTTCACTTGAGAGCTGCCTTGTCTCTGAGGCCTGGTGTAGCCCTCATTCTCCTGAACTGCATCTCAGACAAGAAGTCCATGTGTGCAGTGAGGCCAGGGGTCAAGTCAGGAATACAAAAAAAGGCCTTTATTTATTTATTTGTTTGTCTGTCTGTCTGTCCGTCCGTCCATCTGTCCATCTATCTATTATTTATCATCTATCTATCTATCTATCAATCATCTATCTATCTCTATCATCTATCTATATCTATCTATCTATCTATCTACCTATCTATCTATCTACCTATCTATCTAATCTATGTATTCATGTATTTATTTTTGCTGTAGAGCTGTGGGGACCTCCAGGGCAGAACTGAGACAGTTGCCATTGCCCCTGGCTTCTTACCAACGTTAACAGGCCCTAGCTAAGTACAGCCAGAACCACAAGGGGGCGCATTTGGAATACAGACAAGAATCACTGTAAATCAATGGTTGTATACAAGAATCGTGCTTTCTTGCAGTATCTAAACACATACCACGATTTAAGGACGCCTAAATTAAAGAATTAAAATATCGGTTTTCAAAGCCTTACAGCCCACCTTCCGTATCCCCCATGGGCTAACCTTGCAGATAGAGAAGTCAAAAGATAATCACCGTGGTTCCCCATAGGGGTGATGTCTTTGCTATTGGCTCATCCACATTTAGTGCAATGTTCATCATACAGTGAGTATTCAATAAACACTTGGCGAAAAATGAAAAGACAATGAGATTTTCATGGCCTTCAATCAAGGTTCATTCAGAAGACTTTATCAAACAGAAATCACCGAGGCAAATCTCTGAGGCAGCTCACTGCTAAGGATCTGAGTGAAGATGGAAAACTGAAGTCGTTTATGAAATGAATGATGAACCGCGCTGTTGGCGGTGCTGGGTGCCGGCAGGAAGGTCACAGTCAGGACAGAACCTGGTTGCTTAGTAGCAGAGAGCTTTGTTAAGGAGGAAGGGGAGAAGGGATAAAAGGACCAGGCCTGAGGAGGAAAGAGAGAGAAAGACGGTGGGGTGGAGGAAGAGGGAGCAGAGCAGAGCAGAGAGAGAGGGTGGGGTCTGCGTCTGGCTTTTAAGGATTCCCGATTCAGCCTTACACTACTGCACGCATGTAGCTGGCAGCGCACACCAATGCCATAAAGTGCAGGACCTTTTGCTTAACTCCTGGACTGTGCATGTGCGGTCATACAGCTGGAGTAAGGGCAGAATTCTAACAGTTTAGAGGGTCTTAAACTTAACTTCGGTTGAAGCCAGGTCATATGTATTAAAGGATGGTCTTGAAATTACCAGGTAGCCAAGAATAACCTTAACTTCTGATCCTCCCTCTTCCACCTTCTGAGAGCCGAGATTAAAAGTTTGTGCCACCATGCCTATTTAGGTGGTACCGGGGATTGAATCCAGGGCATTTCAAATGTAAGGCAAGCACTCTATCAGCCGAGCTAATTTGGCAACCTCTAGTGCCAATATACACTTAAAAGGGGGAAACCAACTGAGGTATAGAGAGAGACTCAGGAAATGAAAAATGAGACCCGTGCTTGTACATTTTAACCAGGAGGCCCTGAAACTCATGAATGAAGTGCAAGAACATTTGGAAGAAGAAGAAAAGTTATGCCAGGCATCTTCTGTGGATTACTGGGATGGATGCAGGCCATGTCTGGAAAGTAACTGCATGAGATTTTACACAGCTTGCCAACCTGGTTGGACCTCTGTGAAAAATACGGTAAGGGGGGTGGGGGGAAGCTCACCATTTTAGAATTCTTAAGACATCCAGGCCATCTTGATTTTTAAATTATGTTATTTTAAAAAATGGAAATGATTGATGTTGTCCTTTTATGATCTAGAATCTAACACCAAAGTTATATATCACCACCTGTGTGTGCATAATTTATAGTTTAGAATAACAGTGTTTATTCCCCTTATAATTATACTCTGTAACTCCTGTAGAAGTGCCCTGACTTTGCATTGTATTCACTGTCTGTGGACAGGTTCCAAGTAGATAGAAAAGTCTTTGATGGCAAGGGTCGTATTTTATGGGTCTTCCTTTGAGGAAGCTGCCAATAAACATGTTCAACTGCATTTTCAATTATAGTATTACAGTCTTTTCTTTCAATCTTCAAACATGTATTTGAATCTTTCTCTCCTTTCCTTCCTCCCTCCCTCCCTCTTTCAATTCTACACGTCCTTAAACTCAGTATGTAGCCACATTATGACCTTGAACTCCTGATTCTCATGATTCCACTCCCTACGTTCTGGGTTACAAATGTGTGCCATAACACTTAGGTTCATTGTTCCCGCCCTCCTTCCTTCCCTCCCTCCCTTGATTTATGGTGCAAAGTCTCCTCTGAGATGTCTCCTAGACTGACCTTGAGCCCATGATTCCTCTACCTTAGTCCCCCAAGTGCTAGGATTACAGACGTGCAACACCTCATCGTCTTTATTTCAATGTGCTTTTCCTCTTATGTATTTGTATACAAATGTGAGTAGCTCCAGGTCTCCTTTTGCCCTCTCCATGTGTGGCTTGCAGGACTGGCATGTTTTCTTTGTATGCCCTTTGGCTATCTTCTAGGCAGAGGAATTCACAGAGGGTGGTGACCCACATAAGATGAGCTCTGCCCCAGTAAGTTCTTTGATTGGCCTGGATTTTCCTCCCCGCTTTGAGAAGTGAGCCATGTATGAAGTGGAATGGAATTTTACTCTTTGTATTAGTGTATATATAGTAACTATACTCTGCCTCTGGCTTGACAGTGCCATACTCAATTACAAAAGAGCAGCCACTAGGATAAGGAACACGCCAAGTTAATTTGGTGACATTGTTGATTGCATCTGCTCCACTTTTACCGCTAGGGTCATTCTCTGATGTTCCAGAATATAATGATGAGTGCTGGAGACAGGAGATTTGGAGGTCATTCTCATTTGGGCCAGACATATAACTTTATGAACTTTTGTTGGGGCTTGTTTATTGTAGTTGCTGTTTTCTGAGTCTTGTTATATTACACAGGGCTGTATATCTCAACCCCTTGGCTGTAGTAATGCCCCCTCCCCCTCAGTCTCCGGTGGAGCTTGAACTATAGTCATGTGCCACCTTGTCCAACTTTAAAGTTTTGTTTCTATGGATGGAATCAGTAACCAAAAGCAGGCAGAGGAGAGGCAGGCAATCTATCCAGATTGTTTTCTGGGAAAGGCATGGGTCCTATACAGATTCCTGGATAATTGTTTGGACGGTAGGAAGCTGATGCTCCAGGAGTAATATTCCATGGCTGGTGACACTCAACACGTTCTAGCACTGTGATGTAAAGACAACTGTGGTCTGGCCAGACTTAGATGTCACATAGTGTGATGTCTTCTTCCATTGAGCGGTACTCAGATTTCTGTGACTAGGGTTTCATTCATTCCTTTGACTACAGCAAGCTGGGCATTCTCGCTGTTAATTCACAATTGTCACTAAGCAACCTACTACATAACCATCCCAAAGCTGGCATCTATGGCTCAGTGTAGATGTGTTCATTTTTTTTCTTTCCATGGATTAATCTAGTGATAACAAGAGACAAAGTATCAAGATAGTCACACTCTACCAAATAATCATTAACAACGATAATAGTTAGGAGTCAAACGATAACAGCATTCTTTATAGTTCTAAGGCAAACTTCCCAGTAGCCTATAGTCAATGACCTGCCAGCTGCTGCCAGAAGATCAGGTTATAGTCTGTCTACTATATTTTGACCTTTTTAGCCCACAGTGAGAAAACCTAATCCAGGAGGAATTTCAGGTCCCTTTTCCATAGTTAAAGTTAAGGCCAGCTATAAGAATTGTAGTATAGGAATTCTGTATGTGTGTATTTGTGTGTGGGTTGGGCATGTGTATATATGTATGTATGTGTGTATATGTGTGAATATGTGTTGTGAGTGTGTATGTATGTGAGAGTATGAGTTTGGGTATATATATATATATATCATATATACGATATATATATATATGATAGTATGAGTTTGTGTTAGTGGTATATGTGTGATTGTATGTTATGTGTATGATATATGTGTGTATGTCTGAGTGTGCATATGTGTTTGTGTATGGAGAGCTTCTTTGTTGCAACAGTTAATATATATATATGTATGTATGTATGTATGTATGTATTTGTTGTACATTGTTTTATGATTGTTCAAATTTTAGATTTTTGCCAAAAGTTGCTAAAATATTCGGCTTCTAACTAGGGTTTTAATTAAAAAACTTTATATAAATTAGCCGGGCGGTGGTGGCGCACGCCTTTAATCCCAGCACTCGGGAGGCAGAGACAGGTGGATCTCTGTGAGTTCGAGGCTAGCCTGGTCTACCAAGTGAGTTCCAGGAAAGGCGCAAAGCTACACAAAGAAACCCTGTCTCGAAAAAACCAAAAAAAAAAAAAATATTTTGGAACATACACATTTTTCCTTGATCTAGAAAAGCTTTTTGTTATAAAAATAAAATGATGGTTATTATTAGGTAAAATAATAAAGGACTAACTGGGGGAAAAAAAAGAATGGTAATGTATCATCTCAAAGTTAACCACCTTTCCCTAGTTCGTACAGAACTAAATTTAGAATGACTACCATAAGATGACTTTAAATTTTGCAGTCCTTAACTTCCTTATTTTCATTCCATGCCCCACTCTGCCCCACAGATGGAGCAATTTCTCAGGAAGATGTACCAATTTCTATTTCCCCTCGGTGAAGATGTGGAGGATCCCCCTGCCGCCAAACAGCCGACGGAGGAAGACTTACAAGTGACGCAAATGGAGGACCTCTTCAGCCAGCTAGCGGTGGATGTGAAATCTCTCTTCAACATGAGCTTTTACATTTTCAAACAGATGCAGCAAGAATTCGACCAGGCTTTTCAGTCATACTTCTTGTCCAATGTAGACTCAATGGAGCCGTACGTTCCCCCAGCTTTACCCAAAGAGCTAGCCAAAAAAGAAGACCTTGGGCAAAGGTGGGACATTGCCAATGTCTTCCAGCTGTTTCATAATTTCAGCCTCTCTATTTATGGGAGAGCCCGAGAAATAATTACGAAGATACTGAACGCAATTGAGGATTCCTGGGAACCACACAAAGGCCAGTTACTAAAGACCCCTCTTCCTCACTCTTTCTTCTCTTCCCTCTTGCTCCCTCTTTTTTTTTCCTTTTGCTTTTTTTTTGTGTGTGTGTGTGGTATGTGCTGGTGTGCCTACATGTTCATGAATTTGCTGGTGAACATGTGGGTATGTGGGCCTCTGTGTATGTGCACATGCATGCAAGAGTCAGAGGTCAACCTTAAATGTTATTCCTTAGGAGCAGTCTATCTTGTCTTGAGATGGAGTCTCTCACTGAGACCCAGGACTCACAGACTTGGCTAGACTGGCTGACCAGCAAGTCTCAGGGATCACCTTATCTCTGCCTCCCCAGCACTGGTATAAGCACATGCCACCATGTCCAGCTTTTTATGGGGTGCTGGGGGATTGAACTCAGATCCTTATGCTTGCGTGTTAAGTACTTTACTGACTAAAGTGTCTTTCAAGACCCTTTTTCTTTCGCCCACTACCTTTGTCAACCTTTCTTTCTTCCTCCCACCCACCCCCACCCCAAGACAGTGATTTTTCTCTGTATCCCTGGTGGTCTTGAAACTTGCTTTGTAATCCAGGCTGGCTTAGAAAGTTGGAGATCTGTTCAGCTCCACTGGGAGCAAAAGCATGTGCTAACACACCCAGCTCCTTCTTTCATTCCGAGGCAGAATCTAGGCTGGTCTGGAACTCACAAGCCTTAGTCTCCCCAGAGCTAATATTCATATAGTACAAAGCCTGTCTTTAAAAAAAAAAACTACTTTAACTTAGGGATCTATACTAAAATTAAGTTTGACTTCAGAAATGGTACATATAGGTCAGTGGAATGGCTTAGCAAGTAAAGATAGTTACCACCAAACTTGAGGACCTGAATTCAATCTGGTAACCTGAATTCAATCCCCAGCACCCACTGCCCCACCCAAAATCAATTTAATAATTATTTTAAGGAAATGGTAGACATTTCTGAGTCATTATCGAGTGTTTCTTAAAGTGATCATTCATAGAACGTATTCAGAGCCCCTTACAATGAGCTTTAAAGTTTACCAAGTTCCATCTCACCCCCATCATACTTGAGAGTTCTAGGACTTTTTATTTTTCTTAGAGAAAAATTTAAAGCTGAAAGACTTAAACTCTAACAGGCAAAAACTTGAAAATCACAGCTCCCTCCCTTACAAAGCATATGTACACACAGACTCAGCTCAGTTTTTTTGTTTTTTTTTTTTTTTAAGTCAGTCTAGGTCCTTGCCTACTTTGTGAAAAGTCTTACTTTTTACAGGTCCAACTGAATGTCCTGAGATATGCCTGAGTCATCTCTTCATCTGAATCACAAAATGGATGCACAGAAACCATAGGAAATGCTTACAAAGATCCTCCAAGTTACACAAAGGACCGCATTTTAGAAGAGAGAGTGTCTGTATGTGCTGAAGGGAGAATTCAAATTCCTCAACTTACCGTTTTTGTTGTTTTCTAACGGGGTCTCACTGCAGCCCAGGCTGACCTGAGACTGTTCCAGGTCCTTCTGCCTCTATCTCCCAAATGCTGAGATTACAGGTTTGTCCCTTTACACAGCCTCAACCTTTTATTGATCACAAGGCCTAGTTAAAAAGCTGTTCTTTTTTTTTATTGTTGAAATAGTAATAGGCTAGTGCCAGCTGTTCTTCATTTCTGTTAGCTGTATCTGGCAGCATGAGAACCAGATTCTCAAAGATACCACAAGACCACACAGTTGGCTTCCATCTAGGAAGGGTTTACCTCACACATTTTGGAAATGGAAGTCAGGAAACAAACCCTTCCTGTCCCATTGTTCCATGAGCAGAGAACAGCCATCATTACTGGAATTGCTGGGTTCTATTTCAAGGTCTGGCAGATTTTTTTGGTAAGTCGAATGTTTTCTCTGGTCTAAGCAATACTCAGGACCAGTATCAGGTAGTAATACTACATATGTTGATACTGGAATGGAATTAAATAATTCTTGCCTGGCTGTTTAAGTAGATATCAATTACCTTGGACCAATGTCCAGAATGTATTCATTAGAACAAAATGGTGCTCCTCATTTCATACTGTATAGCGGCCTTGCACAGCTGCTGCTACGTTTAAATGTGAAGCACAGAGTTTGGAACATTTCAGACACATCAAAATCTAAATAACTTCCTATCCACTGCAACTCCCTCCTGCTCTAAGAGGAGCATGTCCAAGGTTCTTGCCGAGTCACACATGGGATGGCCATCCCTGCCCTTCTGTTCTATCCCATTTCTATGATAACTGGATATCTAGAGTCACTGTAAATGTAAACATGGAAAATAAAGGCCAGGCATGGTGATAATAGACCCTGGCACTCGGGAAGGAAAGGCAGGCAGATTTCTATTAGTTCCAGGCTAGCCTGGTCTACATAGTGAGTTCCAAACCAGCTGTGGCTACACAGTAAGACTGTCTCAAGAATAAATTAATTAAATAGAACACAGCTTTGGAATGTAGCTCAGTGGCAGAACACTTATCTAGTTACCATGTGTAAGACCCTGCTTAGTTCAGTCCTTAAGAAACCACCAAACAAACCTACTTAAAACAACAGCTTCACATAAAGATAAAGACCCGGGTTACGCTATTACCAACACCCCTCCTCTAGATATCACGCAGCAAGCTCAACAAAAGAGAAATGGTCATTTCCCGGATGGACAAAGGCAAACTACTGATCTGTCAGGCAGAGGCTACAGGGCATTTATTGTGGCCTCCACCACTTTTCTGTACAGGTGGTTAGTAAGGAATAGGCCAACCATCCCTAGAAAATCTGCCTGGTGCAGGGGAAAAAAAAATTTATTGAGACAGGATTTCTCTGTGTAGCCCTGGCTGTCCTAGAACTCGATCTATAGAGCAGGCTGGACTTGAACTCAGAGACCCTTTGGCCTTTGTCTCCTGAGTACTGGGATTAAAAATGTACACCACCACGGCCCAGCTGTGTGGAAAAAATTAGAGTGCCCCCTTGTGGTGGGCAGAATTAACAATTACCTAAAATTGCCGGGCGGTGGTGGCCCACGCCTTTAATCCCAGCACTCGCGAGGCAGAGCCAGGCGGATCTCTGTGAGTTCGAGGCCAGCCTGGACTAGAGTGAGTCCTAGGAAAGGCGCAAAGCTACACAGAGAAACCCTGTCTCGAAAAACCAAAACAAACAAACAAACAAACAAACAAACAACAACAAAAACAATTACCTAAAGTTATGGATCCCCTTTATTCCCAGGACCTGGGATCTCCATGTTACAAGGTAAAAGGAGAGAGAGTAAGTGCATAAAACAGAACTAAGGTTGTGAGCATGCTGACTTCAAACTGCAAAGAATATTCTGGATTATGGAGGGGTTCAACGTAGTCACAGGGTCCTTAAAGTAGAAGGGACTAAGAATGTAGCTCAGTGGTAGAGTGTCTGCCTAGCACACAGGAGGCCTGAGTGTGATTGCAAAAGCACAGGAAACAAAACCCTGATATCCTCAAAAGTAGAGCAAAGAGGCAGGAAAGAACAAAAATAGCATCATGAGAAGGCTGTTGTCCAACTTTGCTAATGTTGAAGATGGAGGAAGGATGCCTTGTGTCCCGGTGCAGGTTGCCTCTAGGAGCACACTAGGCTTCTCTCCGAGAACTGGCACATAATCAGTCCTGCTGACAACTTTATACTAACCCAGTGAGACCCACACCAAACTTCTGACATACAAAAACTGCAGGATAGCCCGGTAGTGGTGATGCACGCCTTTAATCCCAGCACTTGGGAGACAGAGCCAGGTGGATCTCTGTGAGTTCAAGGCTAGCCTGGTCTACAGATTGAGATCCAGGAAAGGCGCAAAGCTACGCAGAGAAACCCTGTCTCAAAAAAACAAAAAACAAAACAAAACCAAAAAAAAAAAAAAAAAACCTGCAGGATAATGAGTTTTCACTGTTTCAAGCCAATTTGTGGTACTCTGACACAGCAGGAATAGGAATCTAATACATAGCTCTTATCAGTTCCAGTGGTTAAGGGTGAGCTAGTGTTGTGTGTCAGGAAGCTATCATGGATGGAACTTAATGATCACAATCACCCTAAAAGCTGAAATTAGAAAAATGGCTAAAACTTAAAAGTGAACTCAATAAAAAGGAAAGAAGGAATCTTAAAAAAAAAAAAATCTAAGACACCTTAACATTCAATGCTATTTTAAATTTTATTGATTTTCTATGTATTTGTAATTCTTCTTGGAGGGTCTCAAAATTTGGTCTGCTTTAGATATTTTCCTAAATTTTAACCCACTGATTATTTTTTTGAGACAGGGTCTCATGAAACCCAGGTGAACTTGAACTTTTGATGTAGCTAAGAATGAACTTGAACTTCTGATCCTCCTGACTTCACCTTCCAAGTGCTGGTGTTATAGGCATGAGCCACCACACCCAGTTCATTAACCTACTATTCATAAATATATATATATATATATATATATATAATGCAAAAATGAATGGTGCTCTAATAAATACCATCTGAATTAAGACATTTCTAATTTCTTTGGAATTCCCATATATTTCCAATTATAGCTTTAAATGTTATAGCCCTGGCTAGCCTCAAACTTTCTGTGTAGCTAAGGAAGCTGGCCTTGAACTTTACAAAACCTTTCTTTTGTTATTGGAGAATTTCATATATGTATATAATGAATTTTGATCAAATACACCCTCACCCTCCCCTATAATTCCTCTACTATCCTATCATCACTTTTCCTTTCCAACTTAATTTACTCTTTAAAAAAAAACCATTAAGTTTACTCAGTGCTGCCTGTAAATGCAAAACTGAAATATGAGCAACCTCTCAAGAAGAGCATCCCTGAAGAAAAATCTCTCTCTCTCAGCAGCCATCAGCTGCCAATAATTCCTCAGATAAGAGTAGGATTTCAGGATTCCCTCTCCCATCTATACTGGGATTTTGTCTGGCTTGCTCTTGCAAAGTTCTTACACATGCAGTCCCAGACACTATGAGTTCACGTGTGCTATGGTGCTGTCCTTTTCCCAACAAATACTCACTGCAGATATCTACTTGCTCTGGCTCTCAAAATCCTTCTGACTCCTCTTCTGAGATAATCCCTAAGTCTCTGATGAAGGAGGAGTAATATAAATGTCCCATTTAGAAGTAAACATTCTATGGTCTCTTATTCTTTGAATGTTGTGGGTCTCTGTATTAATAGCCATCTATTGCAAAAAAAGAAGCTTCTCTGATGAAGGTTGAAAGATACACTAATTTACAGGTATAAAGACAAGAACTTAGAGGGTAGAGGGTACTCTACTGCCCTTCCCTGAAATACCTCCCTCCCCTCATGGCCCCTTGTAAATGCATATAAGATTCAAAAGCAGTATACACATATGAGAGTGCCATGTAGCATTCATTTCTCTGCATCTGGGGTTATTTGGCTCAGGATAATTATTTCCAACGCTATCCATTTGCCTGTGAATTCCATAATATTCTTTACAGTTGAATAATATCCCACTGTGTATTCAAGTCATATTTTCATTATTCATTTATCATTTGGAGGGCATCTAGCCTCTTTCCTATTTTGAATAGAGCAGCAATTAATATAGATGAGCCAGTATCTCTATAGTAGGATATAAAGTCTTTGGGGAATATGCCCAGCAGTTACATGGCTGGATCATATGGTGGCTGTATTTCCAGCTTTTAAAGGAACCTCAACATTGATTTCCATAGTGGCTATACCAGTTTGTACTTCCACTAACAGTGAATGTTACCCTTTCCAACATCAATGCCAGCATTTGTTGTCTTTTTTTTAAATCTTAGGCATTTTGACTAGGGTAAGATGAAATCTGGAAGTCATTTTATTTTACTTATTTTATGTGTATGGGTATTTTGTCTACATGTATGTCTGTGCACCGTGTGCATTTCTGGTGCTCATGAAGGACAGAAGGGTGATCCTCTAGAACTGGAGTTTGTTGTGCTGAGAATTGAACTCTGGGTCCTCTGCAAGAATAGCATGTGCTTTTAACCCCTGAGCCATCTCTCCATCACTCAAAGTAGAGTTCTATTTTGTATTTTCCTGATGATCAAGGATATTGAACATTAAAAAAAAAATACTTTCCTGCCATTTGTATTTCTTCTTTCGAGAAATGTCTATCTCTCTGTGCAGTCTTGGGTGTCCTGAAAACTTGCCCTGTACACCAGGCTGGCCTAGAACTCACAAAGATCCACTTGCCTCTGTGCCCACCCCCACCCTCCAGTGCTGGGATTAAGGTATATGGCACCATTGCCCAGCCTTCATGTCCAAAACTTTAATTGAGTTGTTTGCGTTGTTTAGATTTTTCATATTCTAGATACCAACCCTCTGTCAAATGTACAGCTGGTAAAGATTCTAGAGACTGCCTCTTCTTCTGAATGATGGTACTGTACAGAAACTTTTTAGTTTCATGAGGTCTTATTTGTCAATTGTTTGTCTTATGCCTGTGCACTGAGGTCCTGTTCAGAAAGATCTTTCCTGTGTCTATAAGTTAAAACATATTCCCTATTTTCCTATCTTTCAGATTTAGGGCATCAGGTTTTATGTTAAAGTCCTTAATCCATATAGAATAGAGGATAGAAGACAAGGATCTAGTTTCATTCTTCTACATGTAGCTATTCAGTTTGACCAGAACATCTATTGAAGATCCTGTCTTTTCTCTAATGTGTACTTTTTGGTTTCTTTGTCAAAAATCAAGTGTCTTTAGAAGTGAGCTTATATCTGGGCCCTCTACTCTACTAATTGGTCAATGTCTGGTTTTATTTTATTATTTATATTGTTTGTTTGTTTGCTTTGAAGTAGTGTCACTCTACATAGCCTTGGCTCTCCTGGAATTCACAATGTAGATCAGGTTGGCCTCAAACTCACAGAAATCCCAAGTCTTGCTTCCCAAGTACTGGAATTAAAGATGTATGCCACAAAACCCTTCTTGAATTTCTGATTTAGGCGGCGGCGGCGGCGGCGGCGGCGGCGGCGGCGGCGTCAGAGAGGGGGCTGTTGAGACAGGGTTTCTCTGTGTAGCCCTGGCTGTCCTGGAACTTACTCTGTAGACCAGGCTGGCCTTGAACTCGGAGACCCACCTGCCTCTGCCTCCTGAGTGCTAGGTTTAAAGTCATGATCCACTACCTGGCTTCAATTTCTGTTGTTGTTTTTTTTTTTATTTAAGAAGTTTTTCCACTTATTCTACATACCAACCACAGTCAATTTCTGTTTTTAATGCCAATACCATACTACTTTTATTACTATAGTTCTGTTGTATAATTTGAAATCGGGAATGGTGAAATTTCCAATAATTTTTTTTTTGTTATTCAGGATATTTTTGATGTCCTGAGTCTTTTGTGTTTTCCAATGAATTTTGAAATTATTGTATTAACTACTGTGGAGAGTTACACTAGAATTTTGGTGGGGGAATTGCTTTGGATCTGTAGACAGCTTTTGTAGCACGGCCATGTTCACAATGTTAATCCTACCAGCCCATGAGTATGGGAGGTCTTCCCATCTTCTGGCATCTCTTTCAATTTCTTTATTTAGTGTCTTAAGGTTTTCATTTTCATTTCACTTCTTTGGTGAAATTTATCCCAAGATTGATTAATTTTTAAGGTTATGGTGTGGGCTGATTTTAAGGCTGTGGTGTGGGATTGTTTCCTTGATTTCTTTCTTGGTACATTTGGTTGATATATAGAAAGGTTAAGGATTTTTCTGTGTTAATTTTGTATCCTACTACTTTTCTGACTACTATATCACCAACACTACAGCTGGCACTGAATTCATCATCTTTTTCCTCTACCTCCCAAGTGCTTGAATTACAGATATAGGCTACCATGCCTTGCTTCTAAGGTTTTAAAATTTTATTTAATTTTGATTTACTTATCAAATAAATTAATTTATTTAATGTCCATGCAGATATGCGTACATATATGTGTGAGTATCTTTAGGTATTGTTCATCAGGAGTCACCTACTTGTTTTTGTTCGTTAGTTTTTCTATTTTATTTTTAGTTTTTCTTTCATTGTGTTTTTAGTTTTTGTTTGTTTGAGACAAGCTCTCCCCATGTAGTCCTGATTGGCCTCCAATTCAAAGATTGCCTGCCTCTGCCTCCCACATGCTGGAATTAACCTTCTCATTGGCCTGGAACTCAAGAAGGCTAAGCTAACTGGGCCAATAAGCCCACGGATCCACCCATCCCCACTTCCCCAGCACCGGCATTAAAAGCACATGCTACCACACGTGTTTTTTTTTTCCAAGGGTTCCAGGGATCGAACATTGGTCCTTGTGCTTGTGGAGTTAGCCCTTTACTGACTTAACCATCTCCCCAGCCCTGTATGGTGACATTCCAGTAGTGTTTACGTGTGAATGTTGTATTCCCTACAGAGTTGGACCAGAGAGACCTGCCTTCAGAGATGTTACCTGAGCAAAATGGAGGAATGTGTGAGGAATTGGGCCAGAATGTTTCCGGATGTTTCAAATTTCATGAAAGATGCCAAAAATGTCACAAATACCTATCTGAAGGTAAATGATTATTGTTTTTTTATCATGTCTTTCATGTGTGTGCATTGCTGTGTTCATGTGTGTGGGTACATGTGCACATAGAACGCCTGTGCATGCTGAGATCAGAGGACAGCCTTAGGTGGTATTTCTCAGGTTCAATCCATAGTTTCATTTTGTTTGAGACATGGTTTCTCACTAACCTGGTACTCTGGGCTGGCCAGCTAGTGAGCTGCAGGTATGTACCTGTCATATCCTCCCCATGATTGGCTTTTTAAAATGGGGTTCTTGAAATTGACACAGGCCTTCCTCCATGCTTGCATAGCAAGCACTTTACCAACTGAGCCAGATCCCAGCCCTGTTTTTGTACTCTTGGTTCTATCCAAAGGTGTTCCTTATAAAAGTTTACAAATAATTACCCAGTGTATGTAAACTACTCCTTTTACTTTCGTCAATTCCATCCACTGTGAATTGTTTTGTATGTGTGATTAAAGACTAAAGAAACACAAATATATACAGAAGAGAAAGACAATAAGCCAATTAGGTCAACTTCCTTTTGATGCAAAGAAAAGGAAAATCCACTGATGAAGGAAAACTTCTCATGGAAGTGAAAGGTAATGTTTAGATAACCTAACTCTAACCTTTCCTTTCTCGTCCCCAGGATCTCGTGTTAATATTATAATATAATACACAGCCTAACTTTTAAAAGAGCTACAGTCTTTAAAAATTCCATGTCCCTTTAAAATTCCAAAGTCTCTAAACTGTGGGCTTGGTTGTAAAAAGTTGCATACTTTCTTATTTCAAAAGAGAAGAACAATGGAACAGGAAAAATCAGGTCAATGCAAAATAAGAGTCCAGCATCAGGAATCCAAATCCTGTAGCTCAATGTCCAGCATCTGACACTCATTCACTCTTCTGACTCCAACAGGCCTATGGGCAGCACACACAATTCATATGGTAGCCTTAGGTAGGCTCTACTTCAAATACACTGCTGTCCTTGGCAAATGTCTCATGGTCCTGGCATCTCCAATAACCTAGGGGTTTACCCTGTAAATAAGGCTGAACCTTTACCAGTGACCTCTTCCTGCCTCTGTACAGAGACTCTGACCCTTCCATATGGTGCCAAACTTCTGAAGCTCTCTGTGATCCCTTCATAACCTCAAAATAAATACCATCCAGGCAACCTAAAATATAGCCTGCTCCTATTGGACCAACTCTATGTTCTAACTCTGAGGAAATTTTTTTAATTGTCCCAATAAAACAGAAAATTTCACTCAACGGCACTAATCTCTTATTAATCAAAGCTGATTCTTTTGCCCCAGCAGATCAGCATACACAGGTTCTTAGCCAAAATATTACATGAATGGCCCCTATCCCAGGTCTTGACATAGTCTTTACTTCCCTCTGAAACTTCTCAAGCTAGGCCTTCACAGACAACATCTCTCTCAGCATTACTGTTTTCCAAGCTCCTCCTAGAACAGCCCATTAAGTTCTGAGCATTCAACCACTTTTTTTTCCTTTTTTTTGTTTGTTTATTTGTTTGTTTTGGTTTGGTTTGGTTTTTTTGTTTTCCAAGACAGGGTTTCTCCGTGTAGTTTTGGTGCCTGTTCTGGAACTCGCTCTGTAGACCAGGCTGGCCTCTAACTCACAGGGATCCGCCTGGCTCTACCTCCCGAGTGCTGGGATTAAAGGTGTGCGCCACCACCACCACCACCACCACCACCACCACCACCACCACCACCACCGCCCAGACTCAACCACTTTTCTAACCCAAAGTTCCAAAATCTTCCACACTCCTCCAACAACATAGTTCAAAGATGTAAAAAGCTACATCATCAAGTCATCGCAGCAAACACTACTACTCTCACTATCAATCTTTGTTCTAGTTTCATTCTGCGGCTGTGATAAAACACTCTGACCAAAACCAATTTAAGGGAGGAAAAGAGTTTATCTCTTATTGCAGATTACAGTCTGCAGATCTGTGGTGGTTGGAATGAGAACGGCTCCCACAGGCTCATATATTTGAATGCTTGGTCCCCAGTTGGTGGAACTGTTTGAGAAGGATTAGGAGACCTGGCCTTGTTGGAGAAGGTTATGTCACTGGAGGATGGGCTTTGAGGTTTTAAAAGCCCATGTGATTTCCAGTTAGCTTTCTCCCTGCCTCTTGTTTGTAGACCAAGATATAAAGTCTGAGCTACTGTTCCAGCAACATGCCACCTGCTGCTTCCCACCATGACGGCCATGGGCTCTCACCCTCTGAAACTACAAACCTCCAATAAACACTTCTATAAATTGCCTTTGTCCTGATGTCTTCCTATCAAAACAATATAAAAGTAACTAAGACACCATCATTGAGTGAAATTAGAGCAGTACCTCAAACAAGAACTTGAAGCAAAAACCATGGAGGAATGCCGATTGCTACCTTGCTCACAGCCTCATGTCTTTTTGTTGTTGTTGTTGTTTTGTTTCGTTTTGTTTGTTTGAGATAGAGGCTTGCTATGTAGCCCTGGCTGTCCTGGAACTCTCTCTATATAGACCAGGCTGGCCTCGAACTCACAGAGATCTGTCTACCTCTGTTGCGATTAAAGTCATGCACTATTATAATCAGCTCCAGCCTCATGCCTAACTAGTTTCATTTTTTAGTTTTTGAAAAATTAATTGTATATGTATGGGTGTTTTGCCTGCATGGATATCTGGGTACCACATATATGCCTGGCACCTGCAGAGGCCAGAAAAGAGTGCTGGATTCTCTCAGATTAGAGTTTTAGACAGTTGTAAGCTGTCACGTGGATGCTGGGAATCAAACCCAGGTTCTCTGGAGGAGCAGCCAGTGCTCTTACCCATCTCTCCAGGCCCTTAATTAGCTTTTGTCATACTGCCCAGGACCACCTGCCCAGATGATGACACTGTTGTGAGGTATCCACCAGAGAAGACTGCTCTAACATGGGTTTAAGTAAATAGAAAGTCAGTCTATGGCCATACCACCCTGAACGTGCCCGATCTCGTCTGATCTCGGAAGCTAAGCAGGGTCGGGCCTGGTTAGTACTTGGATGGGAGACCGCCTGGGAATACCGGGTGCTGTAGGCTTAAAAAAATAAAATAAAATAAAATAAATTTAAAAAAATAACAATTAAATAAATAAATAAATAGAACGTCTTTATTAGCTGGCCAGCAACTACACTAGGCATTTGGGATCCCGGTGTACCACTGAGCTTTTCTTGGGGTGAGCTTTTTTTTTTTCTCACTGTGTAGCTGGGGTGAGCTTTTAACCACAAAAACCATGTTCTGGGTTGTCATACTTCAGTTAACAAGAACAGTTAGCCAGAAGCAGAACTACAGAAGCTAAAAATCAAGGTTAGTGCATTTAGAGAGTTCCCCAGAACTATGGACTTGGATGGATTAGGTCTTTGTTTACACTTCAGCAGGTGGTGCTGTCTACTATAGAGTTTACAGCCTGAATGGTACTTCCATCACCGAATCAGTTGTGCTCAAGTCTGGGGGCCGGCTACAGTGCCACCCAAGTGAGCTGGGCTCTCCTCCATCAATTAGTAATCAGTATATTCCCCCACGGACATGCCCAAAGGCCAATCTAATGTAGGTAATTATCTCAGGTGATTCTAAGCTTTGCTTACAATTAAATCTAAATGGGGCAAGTTAATAAAATCAAAGCTCAGGAAAGACCAGATTCTTTAACTGCAAAGTTAAAAAGCTCTTGTACCCTCAACTTCCTCCAAAACAAAGACCACAAAACAAAGACCGACCTACCAATTGGAAGATCCACAGTACAATCGACAGAAACTCTTTTTTTTTTTTTTTTTTTTTTTTTTGACAGGGTTTCTCTGTGTAGCTTTGTGCCTTTCCTGGAACTCACTTGGTAGCCCAGGCTGGCCTCGAACTCACAGAGATCCGCCTGGCTCTGCCTCCCAAGTGCTGGGATTAAAGGCGTGTGCCACCACCGCCCGGCAGAGACTCTTTATCTACCTGTCTGCAGCCTTTCCTCTGCCTTCATCAGTGAGTAAATCTCAGCAAACGTAACTCTTTAGAAATGAGGAAGAACAGAATTCTGCTCTTGACCAAGGTAATATAAAATACACACTGACTTTTAAAATATTAGAGAGGCTGGAGAGATGGTCTAGTGGTTAAGAGTGCCAACTGCTCTTATAGAAGATCTGTTTGGTTCTCAGTATTCAAATCCAGTGACTCACAACACTTGTATCTCCAGTCTTCATGGGCATCTACACACATGTGCACATAAACACCCCCAACACCCCACATAATTAAAAATAAAAAATAATGTTTAGAAACAAGATGCCAGTAGATATACCATAATATGAATCAAGGTTACTACTGAGTTGTAATGTTAAGGATGAGTTTCATACCTTTCTTTGTATTTTTAATTTTTTTTACTATAAACAAACATGTACACATACCTTAAATAATATTGAAAGTTATAAAGTATTTCTCAAATTTATTTAACTTTTCAATGTAGTGTTTGTTTGATTTAATCATACTGGTTAGACTGGGGATACAGTTAAGGGCAAGCAGGAGGTCCTGGGCCAGAGTCATTAAACAAAAACAAAAAAATCAAAAGCAAACTATTTCTCACCCTGCTAAAGCCTACCATGGTGTCATATGTTTATAATCTGAGTATGTAGGAAGTAGAAGTAGAAGGATCAGGAGTTCAAGACTGGCACGTGTGCCAAGCAAAAGCAAACCCAAACACCATGCTCAAGGTAATTATGTTTACAGATTAATGTTCTCTGTTAAGGAAACAGATCTTTGTGTCCTGTGACTTAAGCATCATAGATGTCCTAAGTCTTTGCATGCTCTGAAATTCAAGAAGAGTGAGGTTTTTATTCTAATACTGTGCTCAACTAATAGGCAAAAGATGGTTTTAATAGTTTGCTGAACTAAACCAGTGCAGTGTTTGGGTAGTTACTAAGTGTCTTAAACATCAATAATGTTCCCTTCCCCCTTTTGCTTAGTATTACCAGCCTGGGCTCTTATTTCTCAGTCCTCGGGGG